CCCCCATTTCCATGCCTTCCATTGCTTAGATGTGTCTGCACCCCTTCCAGTCCTTAGATATGGTAGCTGTACCCCTCCCCCATACCTTCCAGTCCTTAGATGTTTGGATTTCACCTGCTAATCTGGCCAGTAACACACTTCCTGTCCTAGGGTGACTCCACTCTATGGAGGAGCAACAGAGCCCCCCTTAGACAGCAACATTATCACCCTTCGAGGAGGGGGGGTGTTAGGTGGACTTGACTAAAACTTTTGGGATAAAGGTTTTCCGTCAAGGACTAAAAGCTGATCAATTGAAGTCCATTTCCACCTTTCTATATACACACATTTCTTGCGCATCCCAGAGGTAGAAATTTCCATGTGGATATGAAGAGGAAAGTTTATGTGTTCATATACATCAGCTGCACATGCCTGCTTCATGTACGCTCGGTGTACGTTTGCTGGCATATCTTCTAATACCTCTGCAAAGGTGGAAATGGGCTTTAAATGGGCCCTCCTGTCCGTGTTCAGTGGTTTGTCCCCACCCTCTCTCTCTGCCACTTTTGCTGGACAGCTTGGCCTGTTGGGGTTAACCCTAACCCAAGTTGAGAAATAAAATACTTTTTCGCCAGATCTCCTGGAGAAAATAAAGGGAAAAAAACTAAAATAAGACTAATGCAGGCAGTAAGGACTGAAAGGTATGGGGGGAGGGGGTGCAGACACATCTCAGTAGTGGGAAGCTGCAGTATGTGACATTTTTGGGTTGGGCTTAACCCTAACCAACATGCTTAATATTTATTATAGGCGTTCCATGTAACCCACCAAATGAGTGAGTTCTAAGTATCTGTACACATTGTATGATGGCCTCTTAGGTTTTGGGTTAACCCTTTTAGTGCAGTGGTTCTCAACCTGTGTAACCTCAGGACCCACATTTGTCCTTGGTCATTAAGTCGCGACCCAAGTCGCACCGCATTGGAACGCATGGCATTGAGGTACCGCACGTTCCGATGTGGTCAATCAAACTGTGGACAGGAGATGCGTTTGGGGGGCCGCTCAAATGAATGGCAATGCAACACAACTCCCACACCAGAATTTGCGGTAGGTGCGATTTTTGCGTGGTACAATGCAGTAATCGCAATGGACTGTGCAATTAACGCTCTGTACTAGTGTGAACGGACCCTCAAAAATACTGTCAGACACACACAACCACACACACAATCTCTCACACTCACATACACACTTCACAATAAAATACATTTGATTTCCTTTTTTTAAGATCCACCCAGTCTCCCTATCATATCGAGAACTGTGGGGAGAGGCAGAGCCAGCTGTCAATCAGGCAGTGCAGCTCTGCGATGTCATCATATAGCAGGCTACTGTATAGTATATTATTAACCAGTTGACATCCGCGGTGTTAAACCCCCTTCCCATCCAGGCCATTTTTCAGTATTCAGCGCTGCGGTACTTTGACTGACATTTATTCCGTCATGCAGCGCTGTACTGAAATGACATAAGCGGTAACCCCGAGCCACACTCGGGAATACAGTCTCTTACCTTGTCTACGATCCCCGCTGTGTCCTCCGTCTTCTGCTGAGTCACTCACGGCAGGCTTTCTATCCAATAATACAAGCCTGCCGTGATTGCGCCGCGACCCGTGATTGCCGTGATGGCGCAGCGACCCACTGCAGAAGGGCTCGCGACCCACTTTTGGGTCGCGACCCATGAGTTCAGAACCACTGCTTTAGTGCAATCTCTAAAATCCTATTGCTCCTGAGTAGTATGGAAATGCCATTCTTATATTCTAGAAAGAAACACTTGATTTTCGATGTCACCTGAGGTTGGGAAGAG